AACATGAATACAGTTCCTCAGGTTCAACTGAGATACATGTGTAACAAATACTTACAGCCAATATAATGTTATTCATGTTTTTAAACTTAACCAAGGAATCAGAATAACATATATAATAGTAATTAGTGATGGGCTGAACATCCCCCTGTTCAGTTGGTCAAACATTCAAACCAATTCAACTGCGAACTTCGAACACAGCGGACAATTCACTAAGCGGTATCTTACCTCATCTGAGTATGCAGATGCCACACAGCTACTAAATTACTGCATGAATTATATTATTAAGTCATGCGGTATTTTAATAGTGAAAACATTCTTTAATGTTTCAGGTATAATCGGGGTTCCCTTCTGACAGCTGAATGTAAAAAGAAATGCCGGCATTGTCCAGCAATTAAACATTTTTTTAAAAAGCCACGTGCCCCCCCCCCCATCCATACCAAGCCCTTCGGGTTTTGTATGGATTTTAAGGGAAATCCCCCTAAGCCTAAATTTTTTTTTCAAATGGTGTGGAGGTCCCCCCAAAATCCATACGAGAGCCTTATCCAGGCATGTAGCCTGGCAGGTCTGAAAATGGGGGGGGAACGAGCGAGCACCCCCTCCCTCCTGAACTACCTAAAGCACCTTGTCCCCATGTTGATGGGGACAAGGGCCTCTTCCACACAGCCATGGCCAGTGGTTGTGAGGGTCTATGGGGGCTTATTTGAATCTGGAACCCCCTTTAGCAAGGTGGCCCCCAGATCCCCCCCCCCGGGAATGAGTATGGGGTACATGGTACCACTACTCATTCGCAAAAATAAAGTGTAGTGTAAAACAATGACAGTAGACCAATAGACAGTCTTTGACATGTCCTTTATTAAAAACAAAAAAAAAAATGTCCTCCAAAGTAGATCCAACCACGATGCCCACCACCACCACGGACCCGAAAAAAGAAAAAAAACCTTCCGCTCTTAACACTGGCTCCCCACCTTCTGACAGCTGTGCCGGGATGACAGTTCTTAAATAGTGTGATGACATCACAAGGGGGTGGGATGAGACATCATCTGTGGTTAGGTGCATCGCTTTGGCCAATCACAATGCACTGTCAAGGCGCAGTGCGTTGTGGGGTGTGGCGGGTGAATAGCCTGCCAATTGCTCTTACTATTTGTGTGTTCGCCAAACACACGAACGGGCCGATGTTCGAGTCAAACTTATGTTCAAATCCAACATCAAGCCCAATGCTAATAGTAATCTGTTACAATATAATATGTTGGAGGCCAAAATCTTGAGGAATGTTGGAGTCATGACCAACATATATGAAACCACACCCGCAAAGTCCCTGACTTTTAGATATTTAAAACTGGTAGGATAGAAGAAAAAGAAATAGGAATAATTAGACGAGAAAAGGTTCAAAGAGCTGAGCGAACACTGCTAAAGAAGAAGTCAAAGGATAGAGAGAAATAATATGAGAAAAAATTAAATATTTGCAGGAAAGGAATAGAAGAAGGACAGAGAGGATGAAAACAATGGGAGGGGGCAGTTGTAGGTTGGAAACAGAGGAGGAATATCAGGATCTGGATCTGAACCTGCAACCTCAGCTGTGTCTGGCAGTATCTTTTCTTGCTGAGTCACCTGAGATGCTAGACAATTCACTGATCTCTTAAGACAATCTTGCTTTGTCTTTTGTTTCCCATGAACCTTGAACTCTTTGTTCTTCCAATGAACTTTTTAAGCCATGCCTTTGCACTTCCTGTTTGCCAGATTATTTTGCTCTCTGCAAAAAATATTCAATACGTCTGCTGTCATACTTATCTTCGCTACCACTCATTACCGACCTTTCGCTTGTTCCTCGACTATGCTTCTGCTTGATCCCAACTAGCAACCACTTGTTACCAACTTTTTGGCTTGTTTATTGACTGCGGTTCTGCTTGATCCTTACCTGCTATATCTGCTACTGCACCCTGGCTTACTCGCCTCCCTGTACGGTGATCCTGAGGACCATGACCTGGTACTAACATGCAGCAGAACCCATCAGGAGCTCTAGTGAATACCAGTTAGTGCTTAGACCTGCACCTCAGCTGAGCCCGTGTCATCTGCCAGGGTGATCTGCTTGTATAGTTATCTTATTGGTTGTGGGAGTCTGTTTACTGCTGTAGCTACTGGTCTTCGACCCTGACCCCTGACTGTGACATGGAATGGAATAGGGGTAGAACAGTAAGAGAATTGGCTGTCCTCGAAGTCCCCCCAATGAAATATCTCCAATGATACCTGAGATGCTACCAACCATAACAGCTCTTCACACTATCTGATCATTAGAGGACCCACTCCAGCATGGATGAATAGAACCATCTTCCCTAACACATTGTCCAAAGGTGCCTGAAAATCCTGATATTTCATAGAGTAAGTGAAAGCCAACTAAGGGCACCATGTTGTCAGGGCTCCCAGGTATGACCAGAGGTGTGTGACTGAAGCAGGGAAACGCAGACCTCAGATATGTTATAAACAATATAATTTATTAACACTAACAGTACAAACATAAACGCAGTGCAATACTAAAACATAATACAGTGCAAACAAACCAAACCAAACCACCCACAGATAACAGTATATACAAGCAAGCGTCGTCAGGCAGGCCGGGTCAATATCAATTGGGCAGGTAGGTACAGGGGGAGCAAGCGGAGAATGGTCGGGGTCACAGGCCAGGTTCAGCCGGTAGCAAGCAGCATAGTACAGAGGGTCAGGCAGAGGGATGGTCCGGGTCACAAGCCAGGGATCAGAACAGGTAGCAAGCAGCGTAGTACAGAGGGTCAGACAGAGGGATGGTCAGGGTCACAAGCCAGGATCAGAGCAGGAGAAGTCAGCAAAGGAACAGAAACAGGATGCAGGACAGATACAGGGCCCAGGACAAACACAACACCAAGGCAGAGTCTGTGGGTCTGGCCATCCCTTAAATACCCCAGCATCATCAGTTCCAGGTGTTAGCTGGCTGAAAGGTTGAGTCTCTGATTGCTGGGAGCACCCGCTGGCCAGCCCTGGTACTGCAGATCAAAAGGCAGGTGAGTCCCACCATTGGCCAGTCCATTCCTAACACATGTATCCCTAAACTTGTCCTCCCTGTGGTACAAAGAGGCCATAATCTCTTACATCTGTCTTATAACATTAATTTTGGCAAACCATAATGCCATGGACAGAGTACCAGTTTACTTTCTTTTGGAAGGAGAGCAAGCCCTAGCAGCACTAAGGTAGGCAGTCAAGAAACACTTGTATTGGGAAAATGGGACCTGGTTAATGTTTAAATGAAATTTTTTGTGCCCAAAACAGTGTTTACTCTTTTAGTAAATCAACCCCACTGTCTGTCCAATTAATGTCAGACAAAACAGAAAATATGAAGAATCCCCGTAATAGTGATGTATGCAGTATTAAAAACAAAACTTCTCGAAAAGTGAAGAAGATTAAAACATCTATCAGGGTTTAATTGCTTTCTGTGTTCCCATAAAGGAGATGTGTTCTCACTTGCTGTCCAGGTGTCAAGCATAAAGAAAATGACCTCTATGTGGGCAAAGACAGCATTTCCAAGGTTCCAGAAAAAATCTATTTATTAGGGACACTAAAAGCATTTAAAGGGGTTTGGCTGGAGCTTTCGTTCTTATATCAGTCATGGTCAGCCTTGTAGATTTTAAAAGCAACACATATAGACATGAATGTATTGAAACAAAATAGGAGCTGACAGATGGAGCACATATTGCTAAGCATTGTCTGTGCTCTTCTTTAAGCAGCACCAATAATACTGAGTATACTTTATGTTTTGTGTGCAAAGCAAGAGTAGCTTACGGGTAGGTCAAATTTGAAGCAAGTAACCCCAAGTCATATTTAGACATTAAACTATACTAGGCACACCTGAATGCTGATGCCTTTCCCCCGTGACATGCAATTATCTATCGCCCAGTTAGAATGTTTTTTAAAACACATTGCTATGTAAAAAAAAAAAAAAAAATTGCAATATTAACCTTCTCTCTGATGATGCCCCATACATACTCACAGTGCTGTGATCATCCAGCACCAGTACTCTTCTAAATGAAATGATGGCCAGTGTCATTAAACCAACCTCCTGGGAGTCCAGAGCATAAGAATCCCACCCAAGCAACTTAGAATTGACAATTGGAAGCAGTTTGTGGTCTACTTTTCAACTGTGTAAACCACCAAAGAAAAGAAAGGCAAGGCATTTTTAAGTTTCCTGAACTATAAGAAGTGCCATGGCTGCACAAGCTGTGCATGCACAACTCATCATATACTACTAAAAACAAAACCTTGACAGGCAGGCATCATTATTCAGTAGCCTACTGGGCACTTTTACCCCATTCCTGCCCAGGCCAATTTTCAGCTTTCAGTGCTGTCACATTTTGAATGACAATTTCACAGCCATGCAACACTGTACCCATAATTATTTATTTATTTCAGGTACTTATATAGCACCGTCAATTTATGCAGCACTTTACATATATATTGTACATTCACATCAGTCCCTAACCCTCAAGGGGTGTACAATCTAAGGTCCCTAGCTCACATTCATACATACACATACTAGGGACCATTTAGACAGGATACAATTAACCTACCAGCATGTCTTTGGAGTGTGGGAGGAAACTGGGGCACCTGGAGGAAACCCACACAGGCACAAGGAGAACATGCAAACTCCAGGCAGGTGGTGCTGTGGTTGGGATTCGAACCAACGACCCTAGTACTGCCAGGCAGAAGTGCTAACCACTAAGCAACTGTGCCACCCCTACATATGAAATTTTTATAACTTTTTTTCACACAAATAGAGCTTTCTTTTGGTGGTATTTAGTCACCGCTGGGTGTTTTTTTTTTCTGCACTATAAACGGAAAAAAAAGCAAAAATTAAAAAAAAAAGTTTCCTTTGTTTCTATTATAAAATTTTGCAAACAAGTAATTTTTATCCTTCACTAATTTGCATTGATGAGGCTGCACTGATAGGCAGCACTGATGGGCACTGATGAGGTAACACTGATAGGCAGCAGTAATGGGCATTGATAGGCTACACTGATGAGGCGGCACTGGTGGGCATTGATGAGGAGGCACTGCTGATGCTGCACTGATGGGCACTGATAGGCGGCACTAAAGGGTACTAAAAGGTAGCACTGAAGGGCACTGACTGGTGGCACTGACTGGCAGCACTGCTGGGCAGCACTGTTGGGAACTGAGCTGCACTGAATCAGTGCCCTGATTATCAGTGCAGATGTCTGCTTTGACAATTGCCAGTTACCGGCAGTACTTTCCTTACGCTGTGACAGCGTAAGGAACGTACTGCTGATAACCGGATAATGGGCAAGTGTATTTACATAGTGGTCAGCTGTGATTGGATACAGTTGAACCAGGGGCGGACTGACAACTCATGGGGCTCCCGGGCAATAGGGGATCATGGGGCCGCTGTGTCCTTGCCCAAACTCAAAAAAGCCTATGAAAAAGGTACCAGGGGCATCTCATGGGGCCCCCTACTGACCCCGGGCCCTCGGGCAGTGCCCGAGTTTCCAAATGGTCAGTCCACCCCTGAGTTGAACACATGGTGAAAGGCCGCTGTGATTGGCCTTTTACCATGTCATGTGATCAGCTGTGTCCAAAGGACATTGCGATCACAGACGGTGCCTGGTGCACGCCACTGGGGGCGAGCAGAGAACGAGTTCTGGGAGGACATCATATGACACCCTTCCAGAACTGGACTACCATGCTGTAGCCATCATTTGGCTATAGCGTAGTAGTAAAGTGGTTAATGAAAGAAGATATATACAGATTCTCTGCTGTCATAAAATGCCTACCTATCAGTGGTTTTCTTTTTTATTAATTTAGTTCTGCTTTGAAATTTATTGCCCCCTCTAACCCTTTTAACCTAGGCACTGAACCACACGTTCTATAATAGTAAATGCCACCTTGAAGTATTATAGAGGTCATAAATATATATACAGTATATATATATATATACACACAGATGACACCAAGCTGTACAGTGGAATAACGTCCTTACAGGATGTCTTCAACTTACAAGCCAACCTCAATGCACTGTTTAATTGGGCAACTATGTAGCAAATGAGGTTTAATGTTTATAAATGTAAGATTATGCACTTGGGGGCTAAGAATATGCATGTATCATACATACTAGGGGGAGTACAACTGGGGGAATCAATAGTGGAGAAGGATCTGGGGGTTCTAGTAGATCACAAGCTTAATAATGACATGCAATGCCAAGCTGCGGCTTCTAAACTGAGCAAAATCCTCTCTTGTATTAAAAGAGGTATAGACTCCAGAGAGAGATATCATATTACCCCTGTACAAATCATTAGTAATACCTCATCTAGAATTTGCAGTTCCGTTTTGGGCACCAATTCACAAAAAGAAGATTGGGGAACTTGAGAACTTGAGTACAGAGAAGGGCAACCAAACTGATAAGAGGCATGGAGGAGCTCAGCTATGAGGAAAGATTAGAGGAACTGAATTTATTCTCTCTTGAGAAGAAGAGATTAAGGGGGGAATATGATCAAAATGTATAAATACATCCGTGGTTCATATAGTGAACTCGGTGTAGAGTTATTCACCCTGAGGTCATCACAGAGGACAAGGGGGGCACTCTTTAGGTCTGGAGGAAAAGAAATGTAATCTCCAAACACGTAAAGGTTTCTTCACAGTGAGAGCTGTGAAAATGTGGAATAGACTCCCTCAAGAGTTGGTTCTGGCCAGACCAGTGGATTGCTTCAAAAAAGGCCTGGATTCTTTCTTAGACACACAGAATGTAACTGGATACTAACATTTATAGGTAAAGTTGATCCAGGGAATATCCAATTGCCTCTCGGGGGATAAGGAAGGAATTTTTTTCCCAGCAGGAGCAAATTGGATCATGCTTTGCCAAGACAAATACTGTACATGTGTGTACTTTGATGCACGCATGAGCATGTGTAGGCGCATTCCTGTCCTTAAAAGTCCTGGTAAACTCCTATGCTCACGGGTTTGTTCATGTTCCTGCACATGTGCACAAAAATGAGTACTTGCTACACAAGGCTTCTGATATAAAAACTCTACACCAAGATACAAGTCAGGTTTTAGGCATCCTCTGCAACAAAAAATACATTTTTGATGTGATACCTCTTAAGGGTTATCACCTCTTCTTGTCCCAAAATTATGTTCATTCTATACAGAAGGATTTTCAGAATTTGGACCAGGATCTTCAACAGGGTGAACTGTTAAATTTTCAGAGGTGTTCCCTGTGCACAACAAGAGAAAGTACTTTGTATATAGTAGAGTTCAATGTTTATTTAGGGATTGGTGCAAAGCTGAAGGATTTGGTCATGTTAGTCATGATACTATCAGGTGGTCTGAGCTGTACAAAAGAGATGATCTGCATCCTTCATACAAGGACACTGAATTTCTTAGTATGGAATTTAGGAGGTTTTTGGACATGCATTTAAACTGAGAAATGGGGGCATGTAATTGATGAGCAGCGTTTCTGTCCTCAGCAGGTTGAAACAAATGTGAGGGTTTGTGTTGCTAAGGACTGAGCTGATAGGGCGGTCACTTCAGTTACAGTTTCTGGTGGTTAAAAATAAAGCAGTAGATAGCAGTGTTTGTCATGTTATGTGCACTAATACACGTACTTTAGACAACAAGGTTTGTGAGCTGACAGCTCTTATGTCTAGGGACAACTTGGACCTTGTTGCAATTACAGAGACGTGGTTCAAGGATTCAAATGACTGCAAATAACTATACCAGGGTATACACTAATCAGGGTCTGCATTTCAATCAGAGAGGTATCTTCCCTTAGAATCGGTGTAGTATACAGACCACCAGAGCAGACTGAAGATTATAATAACTTGTTGATTGAAGAGATAACTCAAGTGGCAATGAAGGGAGAGGTTTTGATTATGGGTAACTTCAACATGCCTGATATTAACTGGAATTCTCAAACTGTTGTTACAAGCAGGATCATGGATGTATTGGAAGCACTGAATGGGGTTTCTCTAAAACAGTTAGTAAAAAGCCCAACCCAAGGTGATCATATTCTAGACCTAGTACTAACAAATAAGGATTGGCTGTCTGATGCTGAGGTGGGAGAAAATTTGGGTGCTAGTAATCACCAACTGAAAAATCATATACAAAAACAAGCTTAGGATTTCAAAAGGACATTTTGCAGAAATTAGTAAATTTCTAAAAAAATGAATTGAAAGGTTGGAGTAAAACTACTGGAACAAGTAATCAGTGGGCACTGTTACAGTCTACCATCCTGGAAGCAACTAGATTAGAAGTCAGGCAAGTTAGTAAACAGAATAAAAAACCACTATGGTTCACTAAAGAAGTAAGTAGGATAGTAAAGGAGAAAAAAATCAGCATATAGAAGATTCAAGGAAACAGGAAGGTTAGCTGACAAAGAACAGTATAAAAAAGACAAAAAGGAGGCCAAACACATTATCAGTGTTGCCAAAGCACAGAAAGAGAAGGAAATCACTAAATATATTAAGAAAGCAGATAAAACATTTTCTAGGTACATTAGTGATAGAAAAAGAAAAAATACAATGGGATCACTAAAATGAAAACTGGTCACAACACTTATGTTGAGGGAGACCTGGATGTAGCAAACCACTTAAACAATTACTTCGGTTCAGTCTTCTCAGAAATAAATTGTACTAACAATAACAAGTTGGGAAATCATATGGGCTCTAGTAATGAAGGTTCCTTTTTAGGATTTATGGAGACAGGGGTAGCAAAGGAACTGGCTTGGTTAAAGCTTAAGTTGGGGAATCATATGGGCTCTAGTAATGATGGTTCCTTTTTAGGATTTATGGAGACAGGGGTAGCAAAGGAACTGGCTCGGTTAAAGCTTAAGTTGGGGAATCATATGGGCTCTAGTAATGATGGTTCCTTTTTAGGATTTATGGAGACGGGTAGCAAAGGAACTGGCACGGTTAAAGCTTAAGTTGGGGAATCATATGGGCTCTAGTAATGATGGTTCTTTTTTAGGATTTATGGAGACAGGGGTAGCAAAGGAACTGGCTCGGTTAAAGCTTAATAAAGCAATGGGCCTTGATAGTATTCATCCCAGAGTTGTACAAGAACTTTGCAGTATAGTTGTTGGACCAGTAATGGGTTTTTTTAATCAATCAATCTCTTCTAACAAAAGTTCCCCATGACTGGCAGACAGCTACTATTGTACCTATCCACAAAAAGAGCTGCAAGGTAGAAGCTGGCAATTATTATAGTTCAGTGAGTTTAACATCCGTTGTAGCCAACTCAAGTCACTCCTGAAAAGAATGATCATTGATCACTTAAAAATACACAACTTGCTGGACCCAAAGCAGCATGGCTTTACAGATCATAGTAGACTAATCTGATTGAATGTTTTGAACCAGGATAGTTCTGTGGACATAGCATATCTTGATTTTAGCAAGGCCCTTGATACAGTTCCACATAATGATGTAATACAAAAGCTGTGAAAGCTAGTACTTAACCCTTGGGTGATTCAGTGGATATGCAGAGATAGATACCAGAGTGTGGTTTTAAATGGGGATCAAAATAAAAATAGAAAAACCTCCGCACTATTAGTACTCACAACTATAAATAAATAATTAAATAAAAAATAGGTTAAATTAAGTCAAATTGAATCAGGAAAGCAGCTACCACTAAACTGTGCATTCACTCCGATGTGTTAATGAATCATAATCAAATACTGGTGAAGAGCTTCCAATATGAGTATCCTTTTGTGAATGTGCAAAAAAAAAAAAATTATATGTATATATATATATATATATATATATGTGTGTGTGTGTGTTTGTGTGTGTAGAGATGTGCTGGTTGCTTTAAATCTTAAACAGCAGTTGCAAAGCATTTTTTTTTCTTTTCTCTCTTTGTGAGTGACAGACAGGAAAAGTAGGACTGTGCTCCAATTGGTTGTTGCTACAGCTGAGAAGGATCCACCCATAGCAGCACTGTTGCAGCTGAACTTATGATTGGCTGTGGAGGAAAGGAGAGAGGAAAAGGGAAGAAGAAGCACAAGCGGGGAAGCAGACATTTCAGGGGACCGCATGGAGCAAGGGCTCCTGGTGTAAAGTCACAGAGTCTCATTCTCTGTGCTGCTGGAACCCATAAACTGGGCTGGGAGTGTGTAGCAGAGAAATTGTTGCAGGAGGACAGTGTGCAAACCAAGGATTGTCCTGCCTGACACTCAGGATTATAGCCACTCAAGTGCATGTGTCTCTCAAAGTTTGGAGCTGCTGAAAGAGAGAGGATTTACTACTGTCTAATTCTATCTAGAGGACAATCCAGAAACAGTGAGTACTCTGTGATGAAAGGGGATTTTGATATTGCTGCATCTGCTGTTCATCTCTGGAGAATGGTCATGAGAAAGCCTGCTCTCTAATTCTCAGAGTGACACAGATCTTTGAAAGCCCAAGCTGCTCAGAATTAGCTATTCCTGCTGCTGATTGATGAGAGAACTCTGTCTCTGTATATTACCGGTGATTGTCTCCTCAAAACTTGTGCTGTGGCTGAAGAGTGTGTTTAGTTCCAAATCCCC